TCTTTCCTTACAAGGGAGGTCTTTCAGGGCAAGGCGGTGCGCTTTGGAACGCATGTGGACCACAAAACCATGTTTCGTTTTCGCTGAACGGTTTTAGTAGTACCAAAAAAGTGGTGAATAATACCCTTGATGGTTCAATCCCCCGCGGCGACTAAATTTTGCAATCAAGGTTGGCGGCCACTTGTTGGCTTCAAAATGGTCCTGACGATGAATTTGACATCTGATTTTGATATTTAGCGCGATTTGGCACCAAACCGTAGGCGCCAACCCAAATGCAAAATTTAGTCGCCACGGGGGATCGAACCCTTAACAGTACCTTATGCTTCTTTTTTGGTACTGCTATAACCGTTCAGCGAAAATGAAACATGGTTTTGCGTTCCCTACATGCGTCCCTACAATATGCACAAAACCGTTTTGAAAAAGCGCACCTTGCCCTGAAAGACCTCCCTTGTGAGGGAATCATTTTGCGCACGGATAATCGACAGACAATACGTACCTACCTGCCGACAAATAACACGTCAAATTCTCTTACTAAGTTTGGTTTATAAAGTAATAATAAAACGAAGGAGATTCTTCTCATGTGTCATTTTCAGGCTGATGCGTTGATTGGAATTTATCCTGAAGCGGCAGTAAGCTGCCCCACATCCGGTGTGCTAACGTTTGACCTAACACCTTACAAACAGACTGGTCTGAATGACACCAGCATAATGGAAAGTACCGTCGTGAATCCAAAAGGAGACTTATCCGGAGTAATGTTAACTTCCTAAGGAGCGCTGTAACGAAGATCTCAACTTGTATGTATAGGTAATGCATGGAGTGCTATTTGTAGCTCTTAATTTAGTCCTGTAACATGCGTTTCTAGTTTCACTTTTCTTTCATCTTTTTTTTGCTTTTAATGTATTCTCGGTGTGAATTCTACGTTTATTAGAGAAAGCAGATTTTGTAAGTTTGGAATTGCTTGACGTTAAAAATGCTGATTAAGTTGCTTCAAAAGAATCTCAAACATTTTTTACTAGCAATTTTGCAACTTTTCATCTGAATTAGTTCCATTGTGTCAATCCGTCATTGAGTATCCCTTTATTGTCACTTTAATTGCTTCTTGAGCTCACTTGTGTATTTCGTAACTGCTGAACGTAAAACGTATACATTTTTACTGTAGCCAAATTCATCTAATTTTGTTCTTTTTAGTGAATGTACCTGTACTGTTTTCAATTGAGCATTAAGCATTTAGCAAGATACTCATTATTTCACCTTTATTTTGTCGTCTACTTAACGTTCCACTGCGTTGTGTACATTCCCTTGTGGGGGAACCTCATCTGTGAATAGTTTTGTCCAATAAAATTATTCCATTTTTCCAGCGATTCTAAAGAAACAGTTTTTCTCTGTGGTATCTCTTGCTGAAGGATGTTTTATAGGAGTTATATCGGAGTTTTTTTTAGTATGTCCAATCATTTGGAGCTTTTCGCATTGTATTTTTTTGGAACGCAGGGCGGAAGTGGTGTAGTGGCAAGTGGCACGCTTACCACGCGAGCGGTCCGGGGATCAAATCCTGGGTCGTGAGTCGCCCGGGCCAACCAAGCCTTCCATCCCTCCGGGGTCGGTTAATTGGTACCAGACTTGTCTGGGAGGATAAAAACACTGACTTGAACATCGGCTGGCCCCGCAAGTCATTGTATAGGCCACATCGCATTCAAACGCCACTACGAATGTACAAATGGAAGTAGAATGCGTGCCGCATCCCAAAAGGGGATTGATCAACGGCAAATGCTTTATCCTTTTATCCTTTATGATTTTGATGTATTGCGAAAAGTTGGGTGTAGTGGAAAAGTGGCGCGCTCACCACGTGAGCGGTCCGGGGATCAAATCCTGGGTTCGTGAGTCGCCCGGGCCAACCAAGCCTTCCATCCCTCCGGGGTCGGTTAATTGGTACCAGACTTGTCTGGGAGGATAAAAAACACTGACTTGAACATCGGCTGGCCCCCGCAAGTCATTGTATAGGCCACATCGCATTCAAACGCCACTGCGAATGTACAAATGGAAGTAGAATGCGTGCCGCATCCCAAAAGGATTGATCAACGGCAATGCTTATGCTTTATGTTTCTTGTAGATGCTGGATGGCGTTTATAAATGTGAGCTCTTATAAAGTCTTGGGAATTCCCAAAAAATTGGGGTCGATATTGCGTGGAGCTCGCCATGCACTCGATATCCTTTCAGAATTGTAGAAGCATTTGACTATGCTTGTGGCAGATGCATTTAGTTGTGAGTCTAGTGAAGTTTAAGGTAATATTCTATTCATTGCTGATGGCATGTATAGTCCTATACGATTGGATAGACTGGTGGGCGTTGCCGGTTTCTGCTCCACAGGAGGGAGATGAGGCGTCTCCGCGCATGAAGCTTGGTTGTTCGTATAGAACTAGGAGGAGCGCTGAATTATTCAAGTTTGGGTGGCGATATCCTGCGGATGTAGTGATCCCTGTTGTCCTTTCCAGGACAGCCTGCAGTGATGAGTATATATTGGTTCAAGAATTTCGTTGGTATTCGTCAGTCTGAATTCGAGTTATTGCGAGTGCCAGCACCAAGTACCGAGTTCTGCATTCACGTCACAATGAGAAGTGTACAGGTCAGTGAAGCTTAATGTGAGCGTAATGTCTGGCTTTATCAAATAGTGACTGCTGGTCAGCCGCTAAGGTCATATGCCATTGAAGAATTCGCGTGTCAAATCTTCTATTCGCATATTAGCTACGGCTCAGTTTTCACTGAAAGTTTAAAAAGCGTTCAGTCACCCTTGCTTTTGAGAATGACAGTCACCACCCAGGATATTTTTCAGACCGGAGCTCTTCTTGGTTCGATACTCGGCCCTCTGACAGCAATGATGTTTGAAGGAAAGAATATGAGCGCGAAACGTCTCAGGTTAGAGACGTTTGCTTGTTTGAGGTGTTGATCGGGAGCCCCACTGCGCGGCAACGCTCTTTCGCAAGTGACGTCTCGTGTTCTGCTTTTGTAGGAAGTAGTTGTGTCCTCGTTCTTAGTCTAATCCATTTCCTTTCACATTTGAGTGATAGCTACGAAAGAGTTTCCAAATACTTCTCTCCTTGTCTCATTTATCTGCATTACTACAAATGTATAATTTTTGTATGTGAGTGCTAAAAAAACCCAATTCAAAAGAACGGTAACCAATGCCGAACATTTGGATAGGAAATAGAGCACGTAAAATTATAAATATGCGATATGGACTACTAGAATCTAATTTATTTTGAGCACTAGTCCCAAATAAATACAACTAGACAAAATTGTCCCTCCACTCTCCTGCGCCATTCACCGCGCGGTTGTCCTCCTGAGCGATACTCATATCTTGGCTTGGGTTTCATATTTGATTTGATCTATTACATGAATCCACTCACATTACATCATGTGAGACGCAAACACTGTCGAAACTTCATACAGGAAAATCTAGTTTAACAAGAAATCAGAACCCTTTGTTGAAAAACGGCTTGCAGTTAGCTGCGGTGAAAGAGGATGAAGATTCCGGTGTTGATCAGTGCTTTAGGGATTCTTCTTCTCCTTAGCGTTAGTCCCGCGCAGTCACAGGGTCCGCTAGTATCAGTCCCTTAGGGAT